TAATGTTTAGATATTCACTAATGTGAATTTCATCAAATAATTCCATTATTCCCAGTGTTAGTTTCTTATTTAATGCTATATTACATATTTGAAATTTGCCTGTTTAATAAGGAAACAAAGCATTTCTTTAAAAAAAATGATTTCTTTTGAGCATCCACAGAAAATGAAGGACATCAAACAAACTCAATATTAGTTTTTTTATTTTAACATTCAGATATCACTAATACTAGTACCAAAACAAAGAAGCAATAAAATATCAAATCCTGGATATTTCCCAATATGCATAACATTTCTTACACTTAAATTTATTCAGAACAGAAATAAATACTTTTTATCCAGAATTTTTTTGGTAGGAGGAGGAGTAACATTACACAGCTTTTAAAAAAAAATATCTGTTTTTGAAAAGTAAGAGAGAATAACTATGAAAAATATTCCTACATAAAGGAAATATAACGGTATAAAAGGGTCCCATTTATTAATCTACCACAGAATATTAAGGTTAATTTGAAACATAAAGAAACATAAGCTTCTTTACTGATTAATATGAACTATATGTAATGGATGTCATCATCATATTATGCACCTAACAACTTGTTCTTAACCACTGATTGAGGTAGACATGGATTTGCACTATAGACAAAGATACCACAAAATTTATAGATTATGTTATAAGAAAAACAAATAGTGGCAACAGTTCCATATCATGTAAAGTTTAATTTGGCAGTTTGCACCAATCTCTTGTCTTAGCTAGCCATTAGAAATATATCATACAAATTCAGGCAATGGGTTGATAAAGATCAAGAAAGGTGTTGCCAGCACAGAAATGAACAGGCAACAAATGGTTCCCAGTCATCTCTCACTAGATCCAGTTACATATTTGATAAACAAGTGTATCTGTTCTACTTTGATAGTATTCTTTTTAAATCGAAGGTCCATTCTTTTCATAATAATCTACTCCCTTTGCAGTATTAGCATACATTTCTATTCTATAATGTTGTAAGAAATTTGACTAACAGAAACAATTATATTTATTGCTAAAGACTGGAAATGTAGATATTTACCCTATCAATGCCTAACACAATGTTATCTTTAATCAAAAGTTTCCCCTTTCTCCATTTAAAAAAAATATATTTTCTGCAATTTTCCTGATATTATAATCATTTTTCTTGTAACATTTTCTCTAAGTTCCAGATTCTATACAATATATTGAAAATGTCTAAGAGTATTCTATCCAATCTTTCATCTTCAATGTCCATGGAGTATCAATTTCAGTTAAGTTCCTAAATAATAAATTTTGCGGAATACATGCTATGAACATTCCAAACTCATGGAAATATTTGGCAAATAAAGAAAAAAGCAATCACGTTAAAGAATCCTCACACATTTTGAAACAATGCCTCAAACTTTCTATTGCATACATAAAACAAAAGTTTAAAGCTATTTCTAACTTGTAACAATCCTGATTACATAACAAAGCTAGAAATTCAGACCAACTGTTAAAATAAAACGATTTTCCAAGCCTAGGTTTATGAAACTGAATTCATTCCTAAATTCTAGTATTGTTACACAGTGTTTGAAAAGTCTTAACCAGATTTAATGGATATCCAAACAAGGAGGAAATTGGATTCTCCAACCATGACATGTCACTGACATTAAGTTATACATAAAAGCAATATAACTTTCTTTGTCCATGTTCAGTTTTAATTTAAAAACAGTCTTGGGGAAAAACATACAGAGAATGGAGTAACATCATGGTTCAGACTTCAACGTCTCTTTATCAAACCAAAAACTGGAGTACTAACACATTTAAAATATGAGGGATAACAAGAAAAAAGTATTCTAGGCAGATTGGCAAAAATATGAATTTATCTTTAAAGCAAAGATCAACAGTTCAAATCCTAACAATTTTTAAGTCTAGGAATATGACAGTCCTTCAAAGGCAGAGGATGGGGAATTTAAATGAGAGACTGAAGAGATATGAATCGAAAGGAAAAATCACCAAATGCTTAATATTAAATGTTTTAAACACCTTAAATGCATGAGGAAACCATCAAAACTACCAAAAATTAACAAAATAAAACGATAAATATTATAGCAGCAAGAGAAAGTGCTCCCCACATTTGAGGCATTGAATGGTATATCCAGTTCATATTTGAATAGTATTTTGCTCCATAGCCATGATTAAGACTCAATTGTATCTAATCACCTAGCCACACAATATTTAAAGCAGACACTATCCAGTGCCAAAAGATAGCCCTGTCAGTAACACATATACAACCAGAAACACTCTTTTCTTGAGAGCGCTGCAAAGAGAAAATGCCTTTACCTTTTCTAAAAAATATGTTCCAACCAGAAATGCCCTTAAGAGCCAGGGATATGTACCATCTGTCTCTGAAATGCATTTCTTTCGTCTTTTGCACTAAGATGAAAATTTTACACTGACCAAAGAACTAGTGTCAATCCTGCATGTGTCACCCTGGCACCAATTCAAGGAAACCCTAGGAAACCAATCTTTCCTGCAAGCACATACATAACTCAAATGCACATGTCTTGCTATCAACTAAATAAAGATTATTTAATCTAAACCCGCCTCAAACAACCACATTCCCTCTCGACAGATACATTGGATAAGCACTAAAATGCAGAAATCTTCAACTAAGACAGATGCCTACAGCTTCTATTAACTAATATCTGCTTCACAAGATACAATCCTGCAAAAAGACCCTTTTATTATCTAGACAGCTCTGGCAGCCCAGGACAATTCCATGCACATCACACATTCATTTAATGAGCCATGACAACTCTATTATCAGTTTCCAAAATCTGCACCACCCATGCATTTTCTGTCTGGGATAACTAAACTCTTATTCCAGAAAGCTCAGACCTCCTGTAATTTTCCTACTTTCACCCTCAGCCTAATCCCCAACCCTATTGGAAGATGCACCTAATTTCCTTTTTGCTCACATAATGGTGCAAAGCTTTATCTCCAGCTGCTCATAAATTCAACAAAGGGAAGTTGAGACCACCACATTTTACCATCAATGCAAACTTTTATGTACTGTATAAGGAATCCATCAACATTCACTGTGGCTTTCAAACCTTCAGTCTCAGCAAATGTAAAAACCCTGATTTGGAGACAACCCCAACTTTGAGAATACTAAACTCTCAATAAGGACAGATTTGCATTTCTTCTTGCAAATTTGCAAATAGAAATACAGTGGCAGGTCAAATAGCGGATTCATGCCTGCACTCCTGCATCTAAGAGACCGAAGTTCAGCCGAAACTACAGCTAGAGAAGCCTTGGGTCTACTTGCCAGCCCAGCCTCTGTTGGCTGAGGGAGGTGATAAGCTTTAACCCAAAGTAACCCAGGTTACTCCGATGGAAATTCTTGCTAGTTGCTGCAGTAGCAGCAGAAAACAGCAGGAGTCAAGCTGGGGAGGAGGGGAGCGGAGGCGGAGGCTGATTAAATTCTTCCCGGGAAGAGATTAGTGGATAGAGCTGAGGGGCGAGGTAACAGCTTAGCGCTCTTCTCTTCAAAGGACCTGAGTCCACAGAAGGGGGCGTTATAAACACGTTTGACCCACTGCAACTTTGGGGGCTGTAAATTACTTTTGTAACAGTCATTCAGGGCTCATTTCCTGACCACTCCGGGTGGACGCTGCACGGCTATTTGGCACACTGCCACCCGATCCTTGCCCGATGCTTCCAGGCCGCTAATACAACTTTGAATCCCTCGTTATTCGAAGGTAGACTTGGGAAAGGAATTCAAATTCAAATTTTTCTCCTTCTGTTGACTGGACCGAGAAAGACAGCAAAGGAGTTGGAAATAGTAAAGGGACAGCCTGTGCCACGTTACACCGGGTTCGACCTTCCAAGGTTGCACGGCTGGGAACAACGCGGAGCATCTGCCGTAGTGAACCCCAGGCAAGAGCGCTGTCATGTGAGCGCTGAGCGGACAGTCAGAAAAGCAAAGCCACGGATGGCCTCTGCCACGCCTATTGGTGAATAGAATCCGCACCCTATTCTCAAACTCGAGGGGGGGGGAACCAGAAAATAAGCCCAACTTTCTTTGTCACGTAACTTCCATCATCCTATCTAGACTTCAAAATCACCAAGTCCGCGCGTTTCGTTTCCTGCCCGCCCGCAGGAAAGGCGCACTATTTCCATAACCCCCAGAAGATGTGGGTAGTAGCGGCGATTCCTTTCCCACGCTCCTCTCCTAGGAAGAGATGGTGCCAAGACCGTCCCGTTTCTAGTCTTCTTCAAGTAAAAAAAGATCCTTATTCGCAATCTCCATTCCATTCACCTGCTTACTTGGCCTTTCCTTATAATAATTGCCCGGATAGTCCCTTTCTTTACAACCGGCGCCCTCCCGCAAGCCACCTTTGGGGGTTTTTTTTACCCTCTGTGCCACGCGTGGAAGGCCCACTGCAATACCCCACAACAGCGGGTTAGAGAATAACTTGGTTCTTAACTTATCACCCCCTTTATCTGGGTTCGACCTATCCCCCAAGTATGACTTGACGCCGAAGCAGCCACCTGCTCTGCTCAGCCCTAGAAAAGAAGAACGTGTCTCTAACACCCCGTGCAAGAAGCCAAGAAAGCAGGAGCTTCCGCCGCTGCCAACCTAAAGCCGGCTCGGCAATGTGAAATCCTCTATTCCCATTCGATGCACCCCGGCTCCTCTTCTTCTTCCTGATTGCCGGGGGGGGGGGGACTTCTATTCAAGCCTCTTTCTCCAAGGCTGCTTCTGTTCAAACTGCAGTTGCAGAGCCCGGTTCTCTCCCCTTCTCCAGAACCCACACCAGAGCCCTCCTGAACCGCAGGCCCACCAAGCCTACAAGGCGTTCGAGAGAGCAGTCTCCCTTTCCCAGTTTCAGTTTGCCCGTCCGATCGCCGGCGTCCCTCAACCCCCGCCACCGCCCATCGCCGAGATCGTCAGGAACAAAGAGCCCCCGAGCCCAGCTCCTCTTTCCCCCTCCTCGCCCTTCTTTTTTACCTGCTGCAGGGCCGCCAGTACGAGCCAGAGCAGCGACGGCCAGATCCGAGGCGGCGTTCCAGCTTTCCGGCACATGGAGGCGAAGGCAGGGGAGAGAGGAGAGATGCACAAAACGGGAGAGAGCTTCAGCGGGGCGAAAAGTCCGCGGGTCGGGGAGGGAGGCTCGGCCGCCTTGGGCCAAGGTGAGAAGAGAGAAAGGCAGGAGGGGCTGGCGGAGGATCGGCAGGGCTGGTCTCGAGGGAAAAGGGCGACTGGGCTGTAGGTCAGCGGCAGCTCGGCTCCTTATCCCTCTCCCCTCGCGTCCTGGGTACCGGCGACGGTCCCCGCACACAAAAGGCAGCGGGGATACTCAATCTAAAATCCGGGGCGGGTGGGGGGTAGCGGCTCCTTCTTGGAATAAAGCCCCGCTTCCTGTTTCTCAGGCTGCCTTCGCCGGCGACTTGAAGCAGTCGGTCCCCTTCTTAGTACGTCCCCAACTGTGCCTTGGCACCGCCGCTCGGATGCCGGCTAAGCTGCTTCTGCATGCTCCGTCCCGACTCCCTTATTTTATTTTATTTTTTGCCTCCTTCACTTTTCTAAGTCTCCCCCGAGCAGCGGTAACAGCCGCCGCCGCCTCCGCTCGCTCCCAAGGATAACAATACCGGAGCAGCTTTTTGCCTAGCTCGCGCTGCGTGCTTCTGGCTGCATGTGTGCGCGCCCGTGTGTGTGCGTGCGTGCGCGCTTTTCCTTGTGCGAGGCTGCCGCTGGCGGCTTCGTCTCCTCTCTTCTCCACCCCCCTCCCCTCTTCCACCCCCCTCCTCCTCCCCGGCTCTCCCTGCCGGCCTCACGGCCAATGGGAAACCACCGGTTTCAGCTCGGCCCTCGCTTCGGCCGGCAGCCGCCCACAGCTTGCTCTACCCCACAGCCAAAGGCTGAGCTTCCGTGCTGCAGTTGCAGCCAGAGATGAGCCGAAGAAGCCTTGGAAATGATTGCCGGGCCTTGGAGGGTGGGGGGGCAGGGTGTGACGGGCATGGTACGAGCAACACGCGCGCGGATGCGATTTTAGGTGGACCGGGAAAGGGGAGTGGGGGGGAGAGAGTTGAAGTGATGTTTAATGAATCGGCGTGAGAAAACTCCTCGGCGGTGTTCTTATTTGTGGACTGAAGGGGAAGACATGCCAAATGCCCAAAAAGAAGCAAAGAGCTCGTCGACGCCAGGGAACGCTGCTCGGGCTCCCATTGTCTGAAGGCGCTCCGCATTGAAGCCACCTGCTGGGGGAGGGAGAGAGAAAAAAGCCGTTATTTAAGGTGGCGGCATTTGCTTTTGTTTTTATTCCTCTCCCACCAGTGCTTGAAGAGCCTGGATTTTGACTAGCTGGCCAATTAGAAAAGTTCCCGGCCTGCAGTTTATTGGTTTAGAGAGCCTTTTGTCTCCGCCCGGGGCCTCTTTTTCCCCCCATCTCGCTTCCCCCGCCTTCCTACGATCGTTTACCTGCTTCAGTGCTCAAGAAATGTGGTTGGTTTGGTTTGGGTTTTTTTTTGGGGGGGGGGTCTTCGTGTTTTTTGAAAAGGTGAGGGAAAAAAACCCGCTTTGGTTGGCTCCGGGCTGAGCTCCAATCCGTAGGTCCAAAAAATATCAGGCTGCATAACGGAAATTAGGAAGGTTGCTGAGTGCACCGTTAACTGCCAGTATCAGTGCTGGGTCATTTGCAGAGCCGGCAAGGATTTTCCGTCACCCTGCAGGTCACTGAACAAACTTGTTTTGCGTCCATGCTTCAAAGCCTCCAGCCTTAGAAAAGAAAAAAACCAAAAGGGGGAGGGGAAGGATGGGTGCTAGACGGGAGGCTTCTCTGCTCCCAGTGGCTGCCTTGAGTTTTAAACGGTTATTCAAAACGGAATTTGCCTGGAAAGGTGGAAAATAATGCATTTATAATATTCTGCTGAAAACCCAAGGGTTTTCCAGGGCGCTGCTCTGGAGAGTCCAAACAAGGGTTAAATGCAGACAATCTGCCCAGAACTGAATTGAAACTTTAAGCCACGCCTCTGGTGTTATTTCCAGTTTTTTTTCAATTCAGCTAGCCCAGTGGACAGCTTTTGAGTTTCTCTCCAATTCTACAGATTGCTTTGACTCTCCTAGAGTTAAAAGTAGGGAAAAAATTCTTAAAATGTTCATTAAGAGCAGGCTAGGTGAGGGAAAATTCCTTTCCTTTCAGTTTGGCTATTTGCTCACCTTTTGGTCCTCCTAGTATCCTGGGTTTGCTCAGGCACTGTAAAGCCACAGGCAGCTGTCGTGGGAGGCGTGTGGGTCGGAGTGCCAACGCCAGCGCTGTCGCAGGGGCCCCCGCTGAAGGCTCTGTTGCCACCGTCTGCGTTTTGCAGAAGCTGGCGTTTGGCTATCTAGTGCAGTGGCCATTTTGGGAAACAGGAAGTTCCTTCCGCCATTTTGTTTTCACCATTTTCGCTTCTGAGCACATTGCCGCAGCTGCCTGGTTGCCTGACTCATTGCAGGTAGCCGCGTGGAGGCTCATTGCCCGGTTTGACCGGCGATTTGGTTCCTAATCTAGTGAAACTATCAAATTGTTGCGGCAAAGGATCATGGCTTATTTAGGTCGCCTCCTTATCTGACCTGCAAGCAATAGCAATAGCAATAGCAGTAGACTTATATACCGCTTCATAGGCCTTTCAGGCCTCTCTAAGCGGTTTACAGAGAGTCAGCATATTGCNAACATGATAGCAGTGTTCCAATATCTCAGGGGCTGCCACAAAGAGGAGGGAGTCAAACTATTCTCCAAGGCACCTAAGAATAGAACAAGAAACAATGGGTGGAAACTAATCAAGGAGAGAAGCAATTTAGAACTGAAGAGAAATTTTCTGGCAGTTAAAACAATTAATCAGTGGAACAGCTTGCCTCCAGAAGTTGTGAATGCCCCAACACTGGAAGTCTTTAAGAAGATTATTGGATAGCCATTTATCCGAAATGGTGTAGAGTTTCCTGCCTAGGCAGGGGGTTGGACTAGAAGACCTCCAAGGTCCCTTCCAACTCTGCTATTGTATTGTATTGTATTAATAGCGTAAGGAAAGCACTGAGTGATCTCTGAAAGCCATGGCTAGTCTTAAAAATTTAGTAGCTTTATTGGAGATGCAGCCTAATTATAGCTAAGTAAGAAAATTAAGAGTGAAATAAGGAATCCAGGTTATGTCCTATAAAAATTTTGATTGGATAGCTTCCAATCTAAAAGCATCTTTAGAAATATATCATGGGCATAAATTTACCTTGAATAATTTGATAACTGTTCCTACATAGTTCTTACTGTGAGGACAGGCATATGCAATAATGGTGAAAGATGCTTTTTGGACTCTTATAATGTGATTATTTGCTTGATTGATCCAGTGATGATTTAAAGTATATGCCTAGATACTTAAAGGTGATGACTTGCTCAATAGGTCTATTATTAATCTAGGTAACCAGGGATGTGAAAAGCTTCCTGGAAAATAGCAAGATTGTTAGCAATCTCCAACCTTTCCGGTTATGCAGACTAGTAGGAGGGATGGTTCTGCACACACATGTGCTAGCCCACTACTTCTGCAGTACGGTTCTGAATGGGCTGTGCCCCGGTAGTAGGCCACAGCCAGTGCGTTGTGGACCCCTGATCTTACCACATTCTCTAGGTCAATAGAAAGATGATGCTTTAAAGTATCTAGATAACTTGGTGCAGCCAGCTCAGCAGAGCCAGCTCACCCCTGCCAAATTGCCTCTGCCAATTTACTACCACCAACCCAATGCAGACAATTCACTGCAGAGACAACTCGCAACAGGCAGAGAGAGGGAGAGCAGGGCAGGAAGGTGGGCGAATGGGCCTGCAAACAGGTGGGCAGAGCACAGAGCGGCAGCAGTGGCCAGGGGCTTCCCACTGGAGGAGGAGATGAATGGATGGGTGAATGAGCAAGTGATGGCAGTGAGGCTGTGAAAACGAGGTGCCCTGGCTTCTGCTGCTTCCCACGCTGCCTTCCTTTCACACTGGTGCCACCGCCACTCTTCCCACCTGCTTGCTTGCCTGCCTGCCCACCCTGCTCTTCCTTTGGCTGTCCATGGAAATTGTTCCCGCAGTGAAATGGCTGTGTCATGTCATCTTGCAACGACTTGGCAGCAGTGAATTGGCAAAGGCAAGTTGGTAGTGGCAAACTGACTGCGGTGAGCTAGCTGTGCTGAACTGGCCATGCCGAGTTATCCCATTCTGTCTACCCAGATCCATCTGTGCTATGGAGAGAATAGCTGCACCATCAGCATAGAGAAGGACGGGAACCATGAGCATTGAACAAAAATGGGAAATTTTGGCAAAAACTTCAAGCATATTATTAATATATAAATCAAACAATTATTTGCTAGACTGTAGCTTTCCTTTACATCTTTTGGGATAGGCTTAGTGAGATTTCCTTTACAATTTATTTATTTTTTATTATTCTGAAAAAACTCACTGTAACCCATATACCCTAATGGGCGATTATATAGAATACGCATGGACCGCTACATATTTCACTAGTCAACGTCATCCTTTCCTTCCCCTCTACAGTACTGACATTCACTTCCTTGAAATACCCAAATAGTGAACAATTGTACAGGTGTTTATGACAGCTGTAAATGTCCCAAAGTTGCTTTTTCAAGAGGCAACTGGACTTTTTGTTTTTCTCCTAAGACTTTTTCACTTCTCATCCAAGAAGCTTCTTCGGCTCTTGCTGGATAGTGGAAAATGGAAGGATTTATACTCCTTGCACACAGCTTTGCATTCTTTTAGAGAGTCATTGAGGCCACCTGTAGGTTTATCTGTGTCTTTTGGGTCATCTGAATAGTTCAAATGGGTATGGAAGAAGCTTCTTGGATGAGAAGTGAAAACAGAAAAGCCAGAAAGTCCAGTTGCTTCTTGAAAAAACACCTTTGGGACAACCGTGATCTGGATGACTGAGAATCTCCATAAAGTTGTGAATCACATTTTAAATTTTCAGCACTATAATTATAGAATCACAAAAAGTTTCTCGTGACTGTGCTTTTTGGTAAGTTGTAAAAGCATAATATCAGGAATTATTTGTTTTCTAACAGGGACATGTCATTTACAATGACAAGATTCATAAAAACAGTTAAGGCACATTAAGGTATAACGGAATTATCCTAAGAGAATAATGATTTAGACATGAATTGCTTGGCATTCCCTCGCAACTCAAATCTGTAACATACCCACGCATTCAAAGATTTATGATTCTGTTTTTTCTCCCTAAGAGATTCTTCCAGCTGAGAGAAAAACAAGCTTAAAACCAGAATGATTACTCTGCACATTTCAAAGAAGATTATACTTAAAGCAGCCTAAACAGAATTAAAACAATTTAGAAAAAAAGTTACTGCAACAATTTCATAAAATGCAAAGCCTTCATCGTATTATTTATTTTCTTTACAGATCAACCTGCATATTATAAGAACATTCAGTTTAACCGAAGGAGAAACTTGGGAAAACAATCTTTTTTTAAAAAACAGAATTTATTACCCAGTTATTCCTGATAGCATTATGTCACATCAGTGACGTGGTTCAAAGCTATAAACTTTTCTTTCTTTTTTTTCTACAAATTACATAAAATGTATAAGTAACATTTATAATGAATTCTAAGAGTGAGATGGGCATACCTAAATTTGACAAAATAAAATAATAGTAAATAGTAACATTACTTACTATACTGCAT